CCGAGTAATCCTAATAACTTGTGGGATAAAATTTAAAAATATAGCTACTTTTTAGTTTATGTCATGGAATGTGAAACTCTAGAATATGTTGTGAAGTTTCATATTATGAAATTTGAAACTCTATGATAATAGTTATTTTTCAAAAGGGGGGCCGAAATGTGGCCACAGTGTGCGCTATTTCTACTGCTTTGTGCCACATAGGGCCCATTTCACATTTCCAAATTTCGAACGTGAGACCTCTGCTTAAGAGTGTAGAGATCTTATTCATCACACGACACCCTTTGGTGGTGTCTATACTTCTTTCACATTGAGAAAAAAAAAAGACTTAGCATGATGACAATTTGCAAATCTTGGACAACCAAATTTTTATTCAATCGGAACTTCATTATATACCTTTCAAATATTTTAAGTTGTTAATTATTTTGATTTATAGTACTTCTTACGTAATTTTTAAATAGATGTATGAAAATTCATGATGAAACTTTAGAAAAAGGATAAATTTCACTTAAAATGTTAATGTAATGGTTCATGGTATGTTTAATTATTTGACAGAAGGCAACTCATGATGTGGAAGAAGAATACGGTGGATGGAAGGAAAGTGATGACTACTGATGAGTAGCTATAGAGGAGGATGTGGTTTTGTGGAGAGATCATGAAGTTACGTACATCATAATTCACTCTATTAATTCGTTCTTGAGTAGCTAGCTAGCTTGTTGCTATGTTTATGTATTATGTTTAAGAGATTGTTTCGAAACAATTAGAGATGACAAACGATGTGGGGCTGGTTAAGTCATGACCCGCACAAATTTCAACCCGGTTTGCATTAATTTTTCTATGATTTCAACTCACCCCGTTCTGCCGTGTATCATATTTTTGGTCCTCTTTTAAACGTTGTTATTTACATATTCGTAAATTCAAATATTATGGATGGTTTTCAAGAAAAAATGATCAGAATAATTAAAATCTTTTTATGGTTATTGAGAATAATGTTTTGATCATTTCTCAAATTTTCTGACTTGCTCCTACTAAACTAAAATTGCAAAAAATTGAAAAGCCCAATCATCAACTTAGTAATATACATAGGAACAAGTATAAATGTAATTAATTTGCTTTGAGCACTCTGTAGTTTCTTATCTTGTTCTATTGGCTATAAGTAGACTTTTCAATTTGTAAAAAGAATCTCTATCTTTTCTTATTTAGAAACAATTCTAATTTAGAAATTCTCATTTTCACTTTTTATTGCATTATTGATTAAAAATATTTTACTATGTATATATTGTCGAATATTTAAAAGATAGTCCATAAAGTCACGAAAATAATTGAACAATTGGTTTATATAGATTCTTTACGTGTGAAAATATGTAAAAAAGGACACTGATAAAAAATAACAAGATCAAATTTCATTTACTCATCAAAAGAAACCTCTTAATATCTAATTATTTCACTTCATCATGCTACGTTGGAGAACAAGGCTTCTCATAGGGTTTTGGAGAAGGCAAGGTTTCTCTACGAACGTTCACTAACATTGCACGGCGACTTCAAGGAATATGGAGATAAGAAGAATTTTGTAGTTTACAACTTACTATCCACAATTATATAATGAGTCTTTTCATTTATATATGTACTACTATTTGCATGCTACTCCCATGTAATACTCATTTTCCTAGAAGATATTTTTGTTTTTGGTACTCTTCAATTTTAATTTTTTATGTGATATGTTTAGGACATATGATTAAATAACATTTTAGTATATTCTACATACATTTAATTTCGTGTTTCTTTAATTTCAAACGATCTGGAATAATTAGTTTTACAAAAAGATTCAAATAATTTTGAGTTTTAAAGTGATTTTAGTCATTTTCATAATATTTTAAATAATAAATATATTTTATATAATTACGTCTATAATTAGTACTCCCTCCGTTTCACAAAGAATGGCCTCCTTTTCTTTTTAGTCAGTTTCAAAACGAATGACCTCTTTCCTTTTTTGGTAACATTTTACTTTTTGCTTTCCACGTGGCATGTTTAAGACCACAAGATTAAGGGCAATTTTGTACATTTGACATAACTTTAATTTAGGACCACAAGATTCAAAAGTCTTCTTTATTTACTTAAACTCCGTGCCAAGTCAAACCAGGTCATTCTTTGTGAAACGGAGGGAGTATAATTTTATAAACATTGGAAAATCATCTCAAAAGATTTTACATTTAGTTAATTATTTTATTAATTTACTTTAGCTTAAATTATGGTTATATTTTTAAATTATTTAGTTAATTATTCATATCTCTAAGTTTAAGAAACTTGTTAATTGGTCTTATTGAAATTCGTCTCTTTTGGTTTTGGCCGAATTAACCAATTAAACTCAATTTGGCTAAGTTTTAAACTCATGTGGCTATTTTACTATTGCAATGCTAGCCACTTAATTCAATTTTGAGAAACCAGGCTGGGCCTATTTTTCAACTCAATTCCAAATCAATTAGCCCAGTCAGCCGACCCAACTTACCAGCAGCCCAGCCCAACAGCAAATCACTAAAGGGAAAATTATGCGTATAAACAAATATATACTAGTTAATTACTTAACATAGCTATAGTTTGTTTTAATTACAATTCGCTACCTACTTTTAGCTATAATTATGCAGCTCTGCTTTTTAGTTTTGTATAATTTGCACATTTGTATAATTCGGAATTTGTATAACTTTTGTATAATATAATTTTGTGTAATATAATTTGTATAACTTTTTACACGTCAGATGTTTGTAATTGTATAAATTTGTTATTTCGAATTTATACAAAAATGACTGAATTATACAAATATACCCGCGAATTATACAAACGAGACAGCTTAAACTGTAGCTACAACCCGTCAATATACAAACTATAGCTATGAAACATAATTAAGTTTATTATAGTGACTATTTGCGAAAGTTTTCCATAACTAAATAGCCAAACAATACAACAACAACATAGAGCCCACCAACAATACAATATTCACCCAAAATAACCCACCCAAAGAAATATAGTCATTAAAAGAAATCATTTTATATAGTCAAGGTTCGAGTTTTAAGGTTTCCTCTTGAAGCTTTTATTCAAGCTTTTCGTCCAAGACTCTAAGTTTCAGGGAATTGCTACAAAGGCACTTAAAATGGCAATCCCTCAAGTGTTTAATTACTTCCCTCAAATAGTAAAGATTATAGCGTATGCTACGTTAGAGAACAAGACTTCTCATAGGGTTTTGGAGAAGGCCGGGTTTCTCTACCAACGTTCACTAACATTGCACGGCGACTTCAAGGAATTTGGAGATAAGAGGGATTTTGTAGTTTACAACTTACAATCCATAAATTATATAACGAGTCTTTTCATTTATTTACGCTACTATTTGCATGCTACTCCCAAGTCCCATGTAATACTCATTTTCCCACAAGATATTTTTGTTTTTGGTAACTCTTCAATTTCAATTTTTCACATGACATGTTTAGGACATATAATTAAATAACATTTTGGTATATTTTATATACTTTTAATTTAGGCATAATACATAAATATGTCAGTTAATTTGACTTCAACTGACATATATATGCCCTTCAACTTTGGATATGCACAAGTAGACACATTCTACGTGACATAATACACATAGGACGCCATGTAGGACACAAAATTGTCATGTATGATGCATGTAGGATGAATGTGTCTATTTGTACAATTTTATATAAGTTCAAGTGTCTACTTGTGCACACCCAAAGTAAAGGGCATAGTTGTTAGTTGATGCCAAGTTAAACGGAATATTTATGTATTATATTTTTAATTTAAGATCACAAGATTCACTATTTTTATTTTACTTTATTAAAATTTGTGTCAAGTCTAAATAGGACAAATAAAATTAAAAAATATTTTTATCATTTGTAACTAACTTTTCCCATGCCATTTTCAATTGATGAATACACACAAGTACTTAGTATGTATATATATATATATATAGGGAAAATGCATAAGTACCCCGTCAGCCTATGTCCAAAATCTCTGAGACACACCTGACTTTTACTAAGGTCCTATTACTCCCCCGAACTTATTTTATATATAATTTTCTACCTCTTTTCGGCCTACGTGGCACTATATTGTGGGCCCAGCGGGTGTTGATAATTTTTTCAAGGGTAGTGCCATGTAGGTCAAAAAGGCACTCAAAATGGCAATCCCTCAACAATTGTTCAATGACTTCCCTCAAATAGTAAAGATTATAGAGTATGCTATTTTGGAGAACAAGGCTTCTCATAGGGTTTTGGAGAAGGCTAGGTTTCACTACGAACGTTCACTAACATTGCATGGCGACTTCAAGGAATATGGAAATAAGGTTGATTTAGTAGTTTATAATTTCATAATTATTATCATGACATTTACCTGGGTGGGTCCTACCATACTTAGCACATACATGAGCCTAGTTACCTTCGTGTGCCACACTACCCTGAGACTATGCAGGTCTAGCTCTGAAGTGCTGGGAATTCTGACTATTATACTAACATTTTGTTTCTGGGTGTAGGTGCACTAGAAGATAGTGAAGCAGGTCCCTTTTGGTTTTGCTGAAAGGACTAACGGTTCACATTATTCCTCTGCTACCCGGACTCATTTCCTATCTTAGCCTTCTTGTTTCTAAACTCCTCCCTATCCCTCAGCTTCTGTTCCTCAACCTGCTGCACATATACCATCAACCTTGCTATATCCATATCCCTAATAAGCATGGTTGCCTTGCCCTCTTTGCTTGACAGACGGGACAACCCAGCAACAAAAAGACTCATCCTGCTTCTCATATTCAAAACCATCTCCGGAGCATATCGGGATAGTTGGGTGCACTTCAAGTTGTACTCATGAACACTTAGTGAGTCCTGTTTAAGAGTGAGAAACTCTCGTACCTTGGCGTCTCTCAGTTCTTGGGGAAAGAAACACCCCAAGAAGGCCTCCTCAAAATAAGCCCAACTCGCGGGTGGTGCTCCCTTAGCTCTACCTTTCTTCTACTGGTCAAACCAAGTCCTAGCAACATTCTTCAGTTGATATGCATCTAGTTCTACTCGCTCAGCATCGGCAACGTGCATAACTTCAAATACCTTTTGCAGTTCCTCAATAAAGTTCTCTGGATCCTACAGGATTACTTACTTCAGAAAAATCTCGTGCAAAATAGAGTATAAACACCTATCTTTATAGTAAAAAATAATTTGATTTCGAGTAGTTAGAAGTATGATATGGTATTTACTACAAGATTACTTACTTTAGAAAAATCTGAGTTCTAATGCCAGATCAATCAAAAAGGAACATCAATGTTCATTTATTTGAATCTTTTAACGAGCTTCACTACTTAAAATTATGAATGATCGATGGTGGCAAAGAGGATCCTATATATATGGCTCCAATATCATAATTGTTGCACAATCTTATGCTACATACACTTAAAAGTCTGTGATAGGGTTTACAGTTAGACACAAGTATTTAATATATTTATTTATACATACTATGTTTTGAAGAGGAATAATTTATTTGATTGATAGTAAATGATTTTAGATGAAAGCCTCAAACATATATCATTTGCATGAGATAACTGCTAGGATGACAAGTTTTTTATTTCTATATGGTGTCACAAAAAGTTTTCATGCATAGTACAAAGTTAGCATTATGCATCTTCCTTTGTGTTATGAAATTTGCACTACACCGACTCCTTTATAGCTCTATGTATTATATTTTTATGGAAAGTGTAATTTTTGTGCAGAAAACACACATGTTCTTTGTTTAGTATCTTGCTACAAAAATGTCGATAAGGAGAGGAAAATTTTCGTTTCTATTCTTGTGATTCAAGCATGCAATTGTTGTAGTTATCTTTAATACTATGTAGTCTTTATAATTTTTAAGGAGCATTTGATTTTTACTTTTTACAGGTCTTGAAGACTTGAAGTTGCAAGTGAAGAAACAAGTTTTGAAGAGTTGATACAAATAACAAATTGATTATCTTTTTTCTAGGACACTTGGGACAAAAATTTTATTTCTTGCTATGTAGACAGTCTGTAAACAAAATATGGCTATAAAATTAATAGTGGAATGTTTATAATTTTTGGTTTCAATTCATTACGAATTGTCTATTAGTAAATGTATATATATTAACAATAATTTTATTTATGTGATTGTGATCATCTTTCTATAGATTGAAAAAAATTTATATATAATATATGGACCACATTTTATGATTTACAAATGGAATTTTAACGGACCAGATTTCTTGTACTTATAAACTTTTTAGGACCACTAAAACAAAAAAAAGGACCACTAAAAGCTATTATGTGTATATGTTTTTAGGACCAGAACACTGGTCCCAAAACGTGACTTCACGACCAATTTTTTCTAGTTCCTAAAGAGATTTTAGCGACCAGATGTTAGATCCCGTCGTAATTGATCTTTAGCGAAGAAGCCTGTAGGGACAGGTAGCGACCAGACTTTGTCGCTATTGTGCTTTAGAGACCAGAATTGGACTTTTAGAGACCATTTTTCCCTTCGTTATTGGACAGTTTTCTTGTAGTGCACTACATGATGCTAGATTTGGTTTTGTGCCAAATGAAGGTAGTGTGCTCCGTGTGAAGGAAAATATAATATCCTCTAAGAAAATGAATATTACAGGGGAGTAGCAAATAGTACGTATGCATAAATGAAAAGACTCATTAAATAATAATTGTGAAATTATAAACTACTAAATCAACCTTATTTCCATATTCCTTGAAGTCGCCATGCAATGTTAGTGAACGTTCGTATTGAAACCCAGCCTTCTCCAAAACCCTATGAGAAGCCTTGTTCTCCAAAATAGCATACGCTATAATCTTTACTATTTGAGGGAAGTCATTGAACACTTGAGGGATTGCCATCTTGAGTGCCTTTGTAGCAATTCCCTGTCCCCAATACTCAGCTCCAATCGCGTAACCTATCTCTGCAACTTCAATATCCTCCTCAGGAAAATCATCTGGCATGGCCGGATGGAATACCCATAGGAATCCGATGGAACGATCGTCGATGCATATTGATACATGCCAAGGTTTAGGTATACACACTTTCTTGATGAAACTCAAGACTTCTTCTTTTGTGCTCAAAGTATCCCATCGGATGGTACGAGTTACACGTTTATCGCTTGCCCATAACAATATATCATCAACATCTGTTAATCTAAATGGACGCAAACTAATTCTTGACGACTCCATTGTATTGAGATCACAAAAGTATTTGAAGCAAAAGGGCTATTTGAAGTGGAATTAAAGGAAGTATGTGTTGTTTTGGGATACGTACTAATTAATTAAGGTGTTGAATTTATAGCTGAAATATAGAGAGGAGATGTGTAGGAGAATTATCCCCATGTGCCAAGTTGTGGAGGAGAATTATCAAATAAATTCAGCTCATGTTTCACGTGATACTCCTTCGATCCATTTTTAATTTTCATAGTTTCCTTTAATTTTTTGTGTCAATCGATAAGAATTTTGACTAACATTTTACAATGTATTTTTTTCATCATATTAATATTTAAAATTTGCAATTTATAGTCATTTAACTTTGTTTTATACTTGTTAATAAAAATTATATAATTAAAAAAGGCTCATTTTATCTCCTTAACACTTTGAATTTGAAAAATAAATATTATGATGCCTCAGAACCAAACAAAATAGCAAAAATCTACCAAGTTGTTGAGGACCAAAGATCAAAAGTATCATGTGGAGTAGAATAATTAGACATTGAAACGTTTCTTTTGGCCAAACACATATGCAGACCCTTAAACTTGTCCCTAAATTTCATTTTGGCACTATAACTCAACCTTGTTCCATTTTAGCTATTCAACTCCAATTTTTAGTTCCATTTTGGCACTTCTAAGTGATGTGGCAGAGTGTGAAAGACAAAAAAAAGTATTTTTTTTTAAAATAATAAATGATTACCCTTCAATTCTATTTCTTTTATGTACCATTTAACACAAAATACTAATTTTATGATTTCTTTATTTGTATATATGTTATTCAACAACAATTTTGCATTTTAAAAATCGGCGTTCATCTGTTAGTTATTGTAAAAAATTAAAATTGACGGATGATCATTGATTATTTTTTTATAATAAAATGTAACAATTTCTTTTTAAGAGCTGAAAACAACTTAAAATTCAGTTTAAGTTAAACTAAACACCGTTTAAAGAGATATTACGTATTATGCTCCCGTTGATAATTGGGCTTTTCAATCTTTACAATTTTTATTTCGTTGGAGCAAGTCAGGAAATTTGAGAAATGATCAATACATTATTTCTAGATAACCATAAATTGATTTTTAAATAAATCGCCAACACGTAGAACTTAATTTCTTTTCATAATCATTATATAGTTTTATTTCTAACACATATGGTTCATTCTGATCATCTTTTTCTTGCAAACCATTCAAAATATTTGAACTTAGGAATATGTAAATTTTTGTGGGCTGAAATAATAAAAATAGTTATGCAAGTCGGGTTGAAATATTTGTGGATATATATAGTAAACGAAGTGTGGGAGTTAAATAGAATATTTTTTCATCATTTTAATAATGAAAAAAAGTGCAAAATTCTAATTAAAAAGATAAATGCAATCTCTCTCTCTCTCTATATATATAACTTCTAGTAGATTTTCAGATTTTGGCTAGCAGAAATTCAAGTTTTTTGTAAATCCTACTCAGTACTCCCTCTCTCACTTTGTGTCTTATCGTGTTTATCTCAAGTATTTATCCTTTTTTTTCCTTTTTTTTTATTTTTTATGTTACTACCTCGTTCATCTCTTTCTTTTAACCTGTATTCTTAATAACTTCTTCTTTAACCCCACCCCGGAGATGGCCAACAAAACGTCCAGTGATTTCTGTGGACTTTTTAAGGCCTTTAAAACATCCTAGGAATTTAGAGGTTAATCCATCGTTGTTATCAAGAAGTTAAAAGCCTAACCATATACTAAGGGTAGTTTTTAACATAACTTAAATACAAACATATTAATATAACTTGAACACATACAAACATAATTTACATAATTATTTTTAGGAAAAAATACAGGAAAACATAAGAGACTTACATGATTTGGACGGAGAGAGGTTTCCCTTTCGAGAACCCCGACTGACCCTTACACACTTAAAAACAAACCTTTTACACACTAAATATTACAAGAGGGTTTTTTAGAGATATTTGGATTGGGTAGTGGAGAGGATTTCGCGGAACATTGGCAAGGGGAATATGTTGTGTGCCTTTTTTTTTTTTTTTTTTTTTTTTGGGTTTTTCTTTCATACTTCTCTTTAGTGTGGAGTAGTGTCTTTTTATAGAGGTTGAGAAATATTAGTGGCAAAACGTGGAAGAATACTAGTGGCCAAACGTGGCCGACGCACTAACATAGTGGGATAAAAAGTAGTGGCCTAAACTTGGCCGACTCTTTTGAAGATAAGATCAAATAATACATGCCAGGTGCACATTTGGGCCCCATCGTCACATGCATTATTGTCACTTACTTTGACGCGTGCTTATTAGTTTTTTCCTATTTGGAGGATAGTGATAAAGTAAGCACTCACACGACAACTGTGGGCATACCCATATGGCACACTTTATTCCTACTATATTTTATTGTCCTTGTCTTGTTTTGTCTTGTTCGTCTTCAGGTATCAAGGTTGTGCAGAGCTATGGAATCAAAACTCATTCTGGAATCATCATCTTCATTAGGATCTTGAGCATTTTGATAACATGAATGTTCTCCATAGTCTTCTTCTCTAGAACTTAGGGATCTGGTTATATTATTACTTGAAGTGTCTCTCCTTGAGCTTGTATTAGTTTTGTCTCGTTCTGTATTTATACGTTCTGTATCTGGTACCAGTTTGTCTCCACTTGGATCTGGATTTTGTGTAGTAATTACATGTTTATCCTGTCCTTGTTGGAAAATTTTTTCTAAAGTCTTTTTTATTATGGTCTCTATTTTATCATTTTTTTTTCTTTTTATGGAACATAGTTTTCTTTGTTATTGTCTCTACCTGAGTAAATGATCTGGGTAACCTTCGTCTTGATGAAGAACCTTCATCTTCACTTTTTGGCAAAGTGACAGCCATAAAAGAGTTTGAGGTGTCTTTACTGGCTACCGTTTGAACCGGACTAGCTGTATCTTTATTATCCGATACAGTGGATCTTTTTGCATTTGTTGGGGAATGCACACCCTGCTCATCCATTTTATCTTGAGATGGAAAACTCGATTCTGAAGTCTGTGTACTGGTGTGAATCTTCTGAATGGAGTCTTTGCCTTTAAATAACTTTACCTGCTCCATTAGTTTAGCATTTTCTTGGAGTAAAGTTGCTACCTTTGCATTTAATCTTTTGAAGGCCTCGGTCATTGAAGAACAATGGTCGCAGAAGATTATTTTGTCTGTGTCTTTTTGGATATTGTATTATGGGGTCTTTTGTGGATTTTGTCTGAGGGCTGGAGAGATATAGTAATTTGGACCAAATATCCCTCTTGCATAATCTAATGCTTCAGTGAAATCATTAAAACCTTTAAAAAGAGGAGTTTTAACTCCGTTTATGGATTCTACTACTTCTATCCAAGTTTGAAAAATACCGTTAGTCCTACCATGTATTACCACATAATATTTAAATTTGTTCTCTCTACTTTTGTCAGTAAAGTATTGGCATAATGCATTTAATGAGGCTATAAAATATTTATTATCTTTCTTATTATATGCCATCCATAAATTATCTACTAAACATTTCTGAGGTTTATCTAACACACATTCTGGCAATTCTCTAAAAGATAAATTTGAATTTGGGTAACATATTAAATTATGTTTACCGAAGTACATACGGTCCATCATTTCTATTGATGTTGTCTGAGGTCTAAACTTCATATTACCTAATAGAGTCTGTGTGTCTGATGCTACTCCTTTGCCTTTGTCTATTGAACTGGTTGGTCTCATGCTGAAAACAAATGTATAGTTAAGTTATTTTTATATTTAGTCTACTTAACTAATCTGCTAGACTGTTATATTTTCCTTTTATATATTCAAAGATAACATTTGGATAAATAGATATAGTATCCATAAAGTTTAGCCATCATCTCTTGCTACTAGCCTTTTGGTTTATCTTTTGATGAAATTTAACTATGGCTTCGCAGTCAGTACGTACTAATATTTCATTTTTATTTAAAATGTATAACTTAAAACTATTGAGACCATATATTATTGTCAAAACTTCTGCATCTATACTGCTCATATTTCCTTTCTCTTTATATTTCCACTTTGATAAGCACAAATCTTTTCTTCTGTCTTATCACTATATTTATTTGGTCTAACTTTTAATACAGCTCCCCATCCTTGGAAACTGCCATCTGTTTCGATTATTAAATAATCTGTTTCTAGTGGTATGCTTAATTCGGGAATATTTTTAACTTTTTCTTTGATTAGTTTTACTAATTTTTTGTCTTCCGTGTTGAAATGTTTTTGCCCTTTGCTACATGTTTTTGAGTATAATGGTCCTACTAATCTTCCTAAGTCTTTAATAAAGTTTCTAGCATAATTTACCAATCCTAAAAAAATTTGTAAATCTTTTGTATTGTCTAATTTATCAGGCATATCTAATACTTTTATCGCTATATGTGGTTGTAATTTAATTTTTTCCTCTCCTAATGTTACTCCTAAAAAATTTATATGGTTCTTACATAATTCCATTTTTTTTACTTACTATTATTCCATTTTTCACAAATAATCGAAACACTGTCTGTAGATGTCCTAAATGATCTTTAATATCTTTACTAAATACTAAGAAATCATCGACATATACTAAGACAAATCGTTTGTAGTCTCCAAATATATTATCCATTTTTCTTTGAAATATTGGCGGGGCAGTTTTTAGTCCAAATGGCATAGCTAACCATTCAAAATGTCCTTCAGAGCAAGTGAATGATGTCCATTCTATACTTTCGTCATGCATTTTTACCTGTCAATATCCTGATTTGCAATCAAATTTACTAAATACCCTTTTTTTTTTAATTCAAATGATTAATTCATTTTTATCTGGTAATTTATATGCATATGTTCTAGTTTTATCATTAAGTCTTTTGTAATTAATGTTCCTCCATTATTTTGTATCATAAATTTTAATCCTAGTACAAAATCTACATTTATGTTAAGGTCTCATACCCATATCCTATCAAGTGTGTACATTGGTTTATAAAATTCATTACATGTATTAATAAAACTTACCTGCATCTTTCCTATATAATGTTGGTATGTATTATACGTTCCATC